AAATTTTTATATAAAAAGAAGAATAGTATTCCAATTTTAGAGGATAGCAATATCCCTACAACTTCAAATAATTTCTTAAACTCCACCGATATAGAAAATGATTATCCAATTAATGACGACAATGCACAACTCCCTACACTTTTTTTAGAATACTTAAATTCTACTTTAAATCAAATGGGGCATTTTCCAGTAAAAAAAAAGGTGACTAAGAGAAAAAGGATATCCCAAGAAAAAGCTCAGCATTTCAAAAGCTATTGGGAAAATTCTACAACCAAAGATTAATAAAAATGATAGCGACGATTGGATAATTCATATGAAAAATAATTATCCATTATTGTCTAAAACCCAAAAATATCAATTATCAGCAACATTACCTCTAAATTGGAGCATTCATAAAATTAAAGAACAATTTAATGCTTCGTTTTATATGCTCCATAATTCAAAATACATTCATAGTCAAAAGGGGATTCTTTCAACTCCTAATCCCAAGGCAGGTAAAACTGTAGATCAAAACACAGTTGACGTAGTTAAAAGTTTCAATTTAAATGACGAATATAGTAGATTATTGCCCGGAAAAAAAAGGATTGCGTTTCTATAATTGAAAATGATGAAAGGATTAACGTTCAAAAAAGGTTAATTCTTAATAATTTTAAAGAAATCTGTATAAATTTTAAAACCATCTACCCTACTCTTAAAATCAGATTTACAAAATTCGCCTCATTGCGCCCTAAAAATTGCATAATACCAGGTTCAAGTGGCGCTCACTCGGTTTGTGTCTGCCAAATCCATCAGAACGTTAAGTTGCTAATAATAGGTAGCAATTTAGCAACTTTGACAAAAAATAGCGATTTTGAGATAAAGACTTTCAAAGACATAATTCCAAAAATGATTTGCAATCCTCCACTGCCAGCCTGTTATTTTGGCGAATGTCATGAATGTCCCAGGGACCAAGCATTAAGGGCTAAATTAGAAAATTTATTAATTGCACATGATATATACAGGATAACGTTCAAGCAATGGATAACTGTAGATAGAACCAGTTTAGAGACCCTAACACAAACTGCTGACGAATTTCTTAATTACTTATTTGATAAAATATTTATTTTGATTTGCCATTCTTTTATTACTGAACAACAAAATAGATTTCATCAGAATCTTAAAAACAACTTAGAGCTAGATCATTATTTGGTTATCTGCGATTTTTCTGAAAATTACTCTTTTATACTTCAAGATGAAGTCCAAAGTTATCACTGGGCCACTTCTCAAGTTACTTTACATCCCTTTGGTATATATTATAAAGTAAATAATGTATTAAATCATATAAGTTATGTGGCCATATCCGAGTCGCTGGTACATAACACTTGTTTATTTCATTTATTCCAAAAAAAATGATAAATTTTCTAAAAAATTACTTTTTATCTGAGCTAAATACATTTATTATTATTCCGATGGGTCCGCGGTGCAATATAAAAATAGGAAAAATTTTATAAATTTGTGTTATCATCAAGTGGACCTCGCCATCCAAGCAGAGTGGCATTTTTTTCCTACTGCCCATGGGAAAAATGTTTGCGATGGAATAGGGGAACCGTTAAACGCTTGGCTGCGCGGGCCAGTTTACAACGTCCTTATGAAAATCAAATAAAATCTCCCTATGAATTTAAATTCGATGAGGAAAATATTAAAAATATTTATTTTTCCTATACATCCCATAAAGAATAAATACCAAGATGAGCAAGAATTTTTAGAGCTGAACGATTTTCAAAAGCTCTTTCAATATCTGGGACTCAAAAAATTCATGCAGTCTATCCTGTTAATTTATCACAAATAAATACAAAAAAATATTCTAGAGCTATTGAAGTCAAATTAGAAAGAATCCAAAATATAAAGCGAAATATTAACTAAAGATATTAAAGGGTATGTTACATGTTTATATGATAATGAATGGTGGTTATCATTCAAAGAAATTTTATTAAAATTATTTTAAATATTTATATGTTGTGTAAATCGTTCTATATTTTTGATTGGATAGTTATATTTCCAAACAGGCGCCTAGCCAGGACCACCTACCTCCAAGTAATAAAAAAAGAAGTATAAAATGTTTTCAAGATTTATGAATTGTAAAAAATTCTATTTTAAATTGATATATACTTTTTTGAATTTTTAAACAAAATTTTAAAATTAATTTAAATATTCCCTTCCTTATTAATTTCTTCTTTTTTTTAAAAAATTTTATCTGTAAATATAATTTTTTATTTATTTAATGGAATTAAAATTTAAAAATATATATATATATATAAAAATACTAAAAGTTAAAAATTTTTAAAAATTATATATATATACTCCTCAGGTCATATCTATCATGACCTGATGTAGTTTTTGACTTTTTTTGTAATATTTCCTTAAGCTTTTTGACTTATATTATTTTCCTCTCTATTTTAAGAAAGTAAGAAAGAAAGAAAGAAAGAAAGAAAGAAAGAAAGAAAGAAAGAAAGAAAGAAAGAAAGAAAGAAAGAAAGAAAGAAAGAAAGAAAGAAAGAAAGAAAGAAAGAAAGAAAGAAAGAAAGAAAGAAAGAAAGAAAGAAAGAAAGAAAGAAAGAAAGAAAGAAAGAAAGAAAGAAAGAAAGAAAGAAAGAAAGAAAGAAAGAAAGAAAGAAAGAAAGAAAGAAAGAAAGAAAGAAAGAAAGAAAGAAAGAAAGAAAGAAAGAAAGAAAGAAAGAAAGAAAGAAAGAAAGAAAGAAAGAAAGAAAGAAAGAAAGAAAGAAAGAAAGAAAGAAAGAAAGAAAGAAAGAAAGAAAGAAAATTTATTAGTTTATTGTTAATACATCATTTTTATTTACTATTCTCTTCTACTTAGTATTCTTTGGTAAATATATATACGGATTTTTATCTTAATTGATTGAATATAACGTATAGTCGTTTTACCCTCTATACCTACTTCATAACGTAGTGATCCTAGTTTGCTTTTAATAATGGCCTTTTTTCAATTTTTTTTTCCTTTATTATTTTAAATGACCAAATCTTTATATTTATTTCTAATTTTGAGTGTAGTATTATTCTCCATTTTGTCTCCCGTTTGAACATTTGTTCTAGCAATCCTCTAGGTTTAATTTATAATAGTCATTCTGCTAAACAATGTTCTTTTCCTGCCCCCAATGCATTTCTCAAATTGTATAGGAAAGTAGCTAATCTTGTATCGAATTTCCCCTACGTTTCCTTTATTCATGGTACGTATAAAAGTTCCAATTAAATGTTCGGCTATACCATTAGTATGAGGATGATATTGACTTTCAAGTACTAATTGTCCGTTTTTTGTCACCAAGATCCAAGTAGAAAGGACGCCATTCATTTTAGATATTAAAAAGGCTGACACGCCTTCTTGCATTAAATGTTCTGATACAAAAGGCCTCATCTACTTTAACAAGTCTGTTTATATGTTATGTAACATAAATTGGCATAATAATTTTCTCAAACCATGCTCAAATTATTACACTAATTTATAAATTGAGATCCGATCAAATTATTAATTCAGAAATAATTTTTCATTCTTATATTTTAAAATTAAAATTTCTAATATTTTAATATGAAAATCTGTATATTTAATAGATTATAACTAAATCGATGCCTTAAGATTATACAAATATATTTTTAAGTAAACCGAATTGGATTGATAAACCTACAAATACACATTTCTTAATTAAAGCAATACAATTATTCACCAATAATATTTTAGAGCATTTGCCCAAAAATACTCCATATCGGTCAATGACTGAATCTTACTGGTCAATTAGTCGACTTGCATTTAAAAACCTTCGGTTAAAATTTATAAATCGTAAAACTATTTAATTTAATAAAATAAAAAAAATGGGTTATATAAATCATTTTATAAGCTAGATGTTACTTTTGATATAATATGGTATCCAGTTACTTTTAATATAACAAATTTTTTTTATCAAAAGTAACTTTTAGCCTACACTATTTGTAATCAACTAAACACCTTTCCATTTATATAATTTTAAATTTTAGAAAAACAACTATTATTTCACAACACAAATTTTACGATAAAGTAACTCTTGACAAAAAAATGTATTTTTTTAAGAATAAATACTTTTTGAATAATTTTATATATACAAATAGTTTAATTGTCATAATTTATGAAAACATTTATTTATCCTATTTTTGTTGAGGTTAAAAAAAATTGATTAATCTAAAGATTAATTAAAATGTGTATTTAAAGTGTGTCGTGATAAAGTATCGCGTGATTTCTTTGTCTAAAATAACCTACCATTAAATCCAATGTATATTTTTAAATCACGTCTATTTATTTAGCATACGAATAAACTATAAGTATATATATGTAGTAAAAAAATTTTTAAAAATGAAGAAATAAATATACATAGAAACAATGTTGCATATTAAAATTAAAAGTCATCATATTGTTTTTTTCATTTTTATTTTTATCAGTTTTAAATCTATATAATTTAACAAATTTACATCCACTAGGTGGCATAAATGATTTAATGTTATATATATAAAATAGTTCATTACAATAATATTCAAGAAAAATTATTTCCCTTTCTTTTACAGCTAATTAACCGAGTAAAAGCTGAAAGTGGATGGCTTAGAAAAATATTAATATCTTTCTAAAATTCCTTATAAGAATATATATTTTAAAACCAATAAAAAAAAATTTTTTAAAGATTCATCCATCTACATAATTATAAAAAATAGAAAAAGTGCTCTGACTTGAAATAATATTTATAAATTTAAAATCACTCACGACTCACTAATGTATTTATATATATAATATATATATGTATCATTGAATTGAATTTAAAAAATTAATCATAGACACATAATTCGTATGTTAATAATATATAATATATTTTATTATTACAAATAAATATTCATTTTATAATTTAACTATAAAAAATATTTATAATAAATATCAATTATAAATTCCAATACTAAAAAAAATAATAATACATCATTTATACGCGGCGTGTATCACAATATTAAACACCCTATTTATTTATTGCACTATTTATTTAATTAATATTTAAGAGAATGTTGGTTTGGCAAATGCAATTATTATTATTATAGAGAAATTTGAAATTGGAAGTAGGTATCGAATGATTAGAAGAATGTTGTCATTAGTAGGACTGTATACCGACCCGCAAACTTTTCAACAATCCGATCCGATATTCGTACAAAATTAATCGATGATCGATATCGAAAATATAGGACCGGACCGGTTTTTTTTAAAAACATCGGTTCCTCTCCTATTTTTTAAAAGAAAGAAAATAAATATCGGCGCACTTTGATACTAGTATAGTTATTAATAAAAATATGAAAAATTAATTTTTTTACAACAAAATGAAGTTATATTCGTAATTTTTTAACACGGATAATAATAATAAATAAGTGAAAAAAATTGGTTTAATTTAATTAAGTTTAGATTATTTATTTACATCTATAGGGGTTATAAAATTTAGAAAATTAGAATGTATAAAGTGTTAATCGTCAACATATATATAAAACTAAATTTATACAATTAATATTATTTTTTTTCTAACTAATCCACGATATTACATCTCGTTAGCGAAAGTTTCAGTATCGATCAATTCAATCATTTTTTTCCGCCATTTTCTTTTAAGTACTGGATAATCGATTCAATAATTTTGTAAATATAATACTTTTATTGATTTAAGTATATATATATGAAAGAATAAGAGCGAGTGGGTATCAATTACGTGTATACCTTGTAGTAAATATCCCAAAATTTTGCGATTTTTTCAAAATGTTAGAATAGGCTTTTGTCTGTTTCCGAATAGATCTGATTTGAAAAATTTAATGTATAAAATATAGAGTTGTTTAAAACGGCTCGTTTTGAGCCTATTTTTTAAAATGGCTAACTCAATATTTTAGCCAGAAAAATGTTGCCTAAGCCTCGAGATTCAATAATATATGTCTTGACCTTAGTTCTTCCTTCTATGAACAAAATCTTCAGGCTTGATATTTTTTTTGGATGAAATACTGACTTAGCCTTTTTTTAAAACCCGGCTAAAACGAGCCGTTTAACGACACTAATAAAAAATATATATAATCGATTGAAATTATATTTGCTTTCATTCAATCCGCCATTGATTAGAAAACCCGCAAAATCAAAAAAAAGGCGAATTCTTTTTTGAATATAGGCCCGACCCGGTCCGTTGAGCCCCAATATTTTTATAAAAAAAGGTTATAGAGGAAGAAAATATCAAACGCGAAACATTTAATGTATAGTGCGCACAAATTGAGCGTTGCAAGCATAAATTGATAAAATTACCGTTTGGGGTTAGCAACCATTTTTTAAAAAAAAACGCGAATAGGTTTAATTTTTCATTACTTTTTTTTATTCTTCGCTTTGTAATATAATATATTAAAATGTAATATAAATAACTTACTTATAATCCTAAAAAAGGAATATTTAGAAAATAAAGAAATTAGAAGGCAGACGATAATATAAATAACTTACTTATAATCCTAAAAAAAGGAACATTTAGAAATTAAAGAAATAAGAAGGTAGACGATAATATAAATAACTTACTTTATCCTAAAAAAAGGAATATTTAGAAATTAAAGAAATAAGAAGGCAGACGATAATATAAATAACTTACTTATATCCTAAAAAAGGAATATTTAGAAAATAAAGAAATAAGAAGGCAGACGATATTATAAATAACTTACTTATATCCTAAAAAGGAACATTTAAAAAATAAAGAAATAAAAAGGCAGACGATAATATAAATAACTTACTTATATCCTAAAAAAGGAATATTTAAAAAATAAAGGAATAAGAAGGTAGACGATAATATAAATAACTTACTTTATCCTAAAAAAAGGAATATTTAGAAATTAAAGAAATAAGAAGGCAGATGATAATATAAATAACTTACTTATATCCTAAAAAAGGAATATTTAGAAAATAAAGAAATGAAGGCAGAGGATAATATAAATAACTTACTTATATACTAAAAAAGGAATATTTAGAAAATAAAAGAAATAAGAAGGCAGACGATAATATAATTTTCAAAGACAAATACTTTTTTTTTTAAAGAAATTATCTAAAATTTTGAATCGGCGGATATTAATAAAAAAAGGCAACCTAGACTTAAACAAGGGACGCGTACATTTTTTTTTATTAAAAAATTATGGCAAAACCTTAGTGTGCACTATTATTAATTTAAATATTCAAAGCAATTCGAAAATTTAAATGATGTTAAAAATATTTTTATTATGTATTTAATACAAAATAAAAATATTATTATTATTTTATAAAAAAATGAACATAGTTAAATATTTCCAATCACCTGATTATTATTTTTTAAAAGAATATTCTTATTTTTTAAGATTAATTTTGTTTCTTTCTTTCTTTCATTTCCATCTTTTTGTGATATTTTAATCAGGCAAAAAAAGTAAGGAGAAATAGGAAGGAAATGGGTCATTCCACGTCAAATGAGCAAAAAAAATGAGATTTTCGGCCGACCCCCTACGATTTTTTTAAAATTTGGTAAGCAAAGAAAGGTCAATGTAACTAAGAAATAGCCAAAATTTTAGCCTCCTAACATTTATATTTTTGAAGATATTAGGGTTCAAAGTGGCAAAAATGACGTATTTTTACCATTATCTGCCTTCATTCAATTAACCATATCTTAAAAACTACATAATTGTAAATAACAAATTTAATATCAAAATTACGTACAAAGATTCTACTTTTAGATAAATAAAAATTTTTATTTCTTTTTTCAATTTCCGGTCATTTTATTTAATATATAAGGACTAAAAACGATTTTTTGGAAATAATACGACCTTCAATTTTTTTAAAAAATTTAGTAGACATTATTAAACTCTTCCTTTATATTTATAAAAAAAAATTGGTCTGGGACGCGGCCATCTTCATTCTCAAAATGGATAAAAATGTTTAGAAAAGTGTATAAATATTTTCCCGAAAGGGGGCGTCTTTGTATAAAATTATATATTAATAAGTTTTTAATGGTTTTTCTTGAACTATTTGATATAATTAAAAGGATTATTCATCTTGTAAGTGAAAATAACAATAAATGGGGCTTTCATTCAATTATAGAAATTGTCTATCGATAAAAGAAATTCAATTTATTACTTTATTTATAATTTATTATAAAAATTTTTGCCCATATAACATATATTTAATAAATATTAATAAAATATGTTCAATTAAGTTTCGAGTTCTTGAATATATGAATCAGAATCTTGTGCATTTCATATATGGCGCCCTAAATATTAAAAAAATTGATATAATTTAAATTTAAACTCACTTTTAAAAGATTCTAATTTTTCGGTAGCGCATGTACTTTCTTGTGACGACAATGTATAGTATAACTACGGCCAGTAGCATTTAACAGTGAAACTAATGTTAAGATATGACATTTGGGCAAGCAAAGAGTGTCGTCTATACTTGGAAATGTAAAGGAATTAGAAGGTCCGATTGGGTGTAGAAACTTTATATATATTTCTTCCTGCTTTTGATTTTTCACTAAAACAAAGCTAACCACCAATTAGAATCATAAGGATACGTTAGGTATCCTGATATTTCTTCAATAATTACACTTTCATCATTATATGATAACTATTCTAAAGTACTTTCTATTGAATTGGAATACATTTTACTTTTAAATTATGTAGATCTGTTGGAATCAAGGTGTGTATTTTGTGTGTTCCAGGTATAGATCTAGTTTTTGAAAATCTTTCCCTGAGTAATATATCTTCGTAATCATTATTTATTTTGGTCATCTATTCAAAATATATTACATTAATATTTTCTTTAGCTAACTCGTACAATTCATATGATGTGTACTTTGAGTAAGGCCTTGTAAACTAGCTCTAGCGGCTAATCTTTTAACAGTGCCACCAATCCCATCACAAACACTTTTCCCGTGTGCTGTAGCAGGAAAATGCCATTTCGCCTGTACCCCGAAATCCATCTCATGATAGCAAATATTAATAAAATTTTTACGATTTTTATACTGTGCAGCGGATCTACCGGAAAACAAAAAATTTTATTAATTAAAAAATTTAGCAATGTTTTTTTAAAGTTATGTACCTATTGTATTGTGTTGCAAAGATTCGAATATCATTACATAATTGAGGCAACAAATATTGGCAAAATTATCTTTATAATATAAAACAAAAGGGTGAACAGTGGATTGAGCCCTGTTCCAATGATAATTTTGTACTTCATCCTAAAGTATAAATCTATAGTTTTCTTAAAAATCACAAAATTAAATATTTCGTCTAAGTTCAATTTTAGATTGTTTTGATACAACGATTGTTGCGTTGAAATAAAAAAATGATAAAGATTCCAATTTTTTAAAAAAGGCATTGATAAATTCACCTACTGGTTTGGTTATTGTTTCAAGAGTGGTTCTATCTACGGATAGCCATTGTTTGTATGTTATAAATTCGATATCCTTAGAACGAAACAATATTTCTATTTGATCGCGTAAATGTGTTGACCCTAAACAATTATCACATTTGCCCATATAACTGGATGGTTGAGGCGAATTACAAATTATTAAGTGTAAAATATGTTTGTATGTTTTAAAGGGCAACATATCATTGGTTAAATTTGATCCAATGATCATTAATTTAAATTTTGGTGGTAGCTGCAATCACATACATGTGTACCACTACCTTCAACAAGTATACAATTTTTGGGCGAATGCTTGCGAATTTCGAAAAACCAATTTTAACATCAGGCCTCATTTCTTTAAAAAATATATAAATTTTATTTACATTTATTGGATCACGGGCCGGGTCGAGTTAATTTGATATCACCGATTGATACCAATACCTATAATTTACCCATACTGACTGATAACGAAACCATTTACTATGGTATTTTAAGATGTAAATAATTTATTTTGCCGAATACACCATCTTATGGAAAAAAAATTTATATAAAAATATTTTATATATTTTTTTATAAACTATAATTTTTGGGGTTTTTATTAAATTGTGGAAATTTCAACTAGTGGCACCCCCTTTAATGATGTAAAAAAAATAAAAGTGATATATGATTATATACTTTCGATAATAGAATGCAATGGTACGGCCACGTATGTTACTTGAGCTGCGATAAAAATATTGAATAAATGGTTGCTAGCACCGGGGTTGGAATTTACCCCTTTTTGATGGTCATTATTTATATAATCGCTGCCCGCATTTTTTTCTTCCTCATCGCTCGATTCGTAATAAATGATCTTACGATCGAGATTTGAATCATTATTCCCAGTTTCCTGCGTATTCCCGCACCGGAAATTACCTATAAAAAAACATTTTAGCCAATAAAAAAAGCAGTTTTATTAGGGTTCATCGAATTAAAAATAAAGGAGAGAGATAGTAAGAGTTAAAGGGGAAAAAAAAGCTTTGAAGGTATGGAGAAACGATATTACATGGTAAGGCTTACCTAAAGGCGAATAATAATCGGTGTCGCTCGATAACATGCACGTGTAGCTCTCGTTCATATCGCTGACAATATTCTCGCCTTCCAAGTTCAGGACATCTCGATTCGCGTGTCCGTCATTAATTCTGTCAGGTTCGTTACCGTTGGCAGGAGGGTTATCATTATTACCGTTGTCATCACCAACATCGATAGTGCTTTGAGTCAAATCACGCAATTTAAGTACATTCCAAATACCCTTTATTCGATCCAGATAATCTTTCGAATCGTCTGCGACACATTCGCCCACGTGATCCGATGATTGCGAATAAAATCGTCTGCGGGGATGTTTAGCCATATTTTTTTCATCGTTCTTCAAAGATGGCTCCCAATTTTTCGTCGAGTCTTTAGCACCGTCGCTACACGCTAAATTCGAATCATCGTCAATTTCATTTTTTTTACTAGCGCATTCTCGAAGATCGTTATTTCGGCCCATCAATATCTTGCCCAAATTTAGGAGAGAACCGCTCAATCTTTTTCTCACGCTACTCGATTCGCCGCTTTCGATAGGATCCTTGATATCCGTATCAGCAGGTTGTTTGATGATAGAAACGACGCGAATATTTTCGGGCGATCGCCCACGGGGCGTCACGGGAGCACTGTTAAATAAAGATGATTGGCGTTTTTTATGTTTGGAATAGTATCTACTACTCGTTTGTTGAGAAGGTGGGCCACAAATTGTGTCAGAGTCGTTGGCGGCGAAAGATATAGCCATTTCCGCTTGTCCTGGCGAATACGTGAATAAAATTAACGTACGCGTTATTAATTAGTTCGGTATATATATGTATAACCTACCTAGACCATCTGGCCCCTTCATTTTTATGAACTGTACTTTATTGAAATTGACCAACATGTCGTTCACGGAAGGCTTAGCTTTATCGGAATCCCCAGCTGTGGATTGCATGTCGTTCAATAAACAGTTATTCGCCGAAATATTGGTGGACAATGAGAACCTCTTACTAAATTTGCTCTTCGTGCATGCCTAAATATATTAAATATAAGATATAAATATTTAAAAATGGGGTGATAATAAACCGCCATACCTTTTTTTGGTGAGAGTACTTCAAAATTTCGTACTTAACGGCACCCAAAAATAGTACGCTTTCCAAATTTTCTTCCTTGTCCCGCCCAACCAACTCGACGCACACGATTTCGCCTTCTTTTAATTTGATATCCTTGAATATCTATAAAAAAAAAGAAATTAGGAAAGGAGGGTAGGGATTGGGGGGTGAGGGGTTAAATAAAACAAGATATAAAATTTTTTCTGCGCACTATATAAAGGCACAAATCGGAATAGAATATTTAGGAGAAAAAACACGTGATCAGTTATGGTTGCTAAATATCCTATAAAACTAGACCTAAAAAAAAATAATAATACTAATTTATTTTAATTTCTAAAAAAAAACCCAAATCGTTATGATTGTGTTATTCGTATTTAGTTCGAATACGAAAGAGTAAAATGGATTAAATTTTTGTAAAAAAAAATATTTTCCTTCAGGATATAAGATGAACAAATTTGATTGGTTAGATAAAAATAGAAGCAAAACCCCGAATACGTATATTAAAAATATTAATTTGCGCATGTTATAGAATCTATTCAATTTAAACAATAAAATGATCCAAATTTTGCTCTTACATATTCCAATGACATATAATAATACCTAGACTGACAATGCATTCATTAAAAGTGTGCATCGAATGAAAAACAGCTGAGGGCGTCAATTTTATTCATTCATTAAAAGTGTACATCCAATGAAAAACAGCTGAGGGCACCATTTTTATTCATTCATTAAAAGTGCACATCCAACGAAAAACAGCTGAGGGCGTCATTTTGATTACCCATATCGTTATTAAAAAAATAATGAAACGAGAGGCCAATTTATTCTTATGTCCTAACACAAACTTTATTAAAAGAATCGCCTGATCATCGACATAATAAGGAATAATACAAGTTACCAATTTAATAGTAGTTTTATAACATGAGAATAATTTATTATAAGGGTCACCAAAATGGCGGATCCAGCTGATTTGCATTCAAAGACGCCTATCAAATTCATTATTATGAAATGCATCGTCAGTCTAGGTATTGACATATTCAAACCCATAATTAAAAAAAATTATTTTTAACTTATCATGTTTTGTATCAAAAATGCTTTAAGTAAGGGAAATAAACGGTAAAAAGTTCTTAATTTCTTGTCTAGGAACAAACCAATATATATATATAGGAACAATTTTAAATATTTCCAAAGCAAATCTACTTATAATTATATTAAACTAACATTTATAAGAATAACTACAAAATAAATTTTATACGATAATTTCGAATAATTCGATGCGTAGTATTATTCACTGGTATTCGGTAAAATAATTTTGTGGTTCATAATTGTAAAATACGAATAGAACATCACATTGAATAATTTATTTTAAGGTATATACACCAAAAAACCTACAAACATCATCAATTTAAACTTGAGTTATAAAACAATATTTACAATTTAACCAGGGCTACAAATCACCCTTTTTTTTAGAACAGGTTCAAGTTAGGGTTAAAACCCCAGGGCAAAAATCTTAAGCTAGAACCAGTTCAAAAATAAATTCGGTAAAATATATATTCAGCATTATTTTATAAGTTATTTATATATACATCTCAGAGACCCCTGCAGATGTCAAAATTTAAGACTCAGTCCAGATATCAAAAAAAAATTCATTTTAAAGTCATGTTAGGGATTTATTTATTTTTTAAAAAAAAATACACCTTTTCCCATCCCGAAATTTTTATTATTTTTTTTTGATAATTATTTTGGGCCCAGCCCAGAATGCCTAAAATTTTGTTATTTTTTGAATAATTTATTTGGCGGTATTTCTGCAACCAATAAAAATGAAAGTAAGAGCGGTGAATGAAATAATTAAACGTTTCATTATATTAATTTTCCAACTTATTAATGGATCTAAGAGCTCAGAGGATGATAGAATAGCCTAGATTATGTCTTACAATTCGACCTTTACATGAGCGACAATGAAGACTATGTCTACCATTGCCCAAAACTGCAGAACCGCAACCTCAACATATGTGGGGTTGGGTAATAAGGCAATTTAATCGAATAACAATCGCGTGAGTAAGCTCGTTTTTATTCAGTTGTAATTGCAGATTAACAGAGGGAATAGCTTCGAGAAACTCATGGCCTGAACCATTAAGCAGAGAAGAGAATAAGGGACGGTAAGGAGTGATTCAACGCAGAGTGCAATAATAGGCCTATCCCAGTCCTTCTGCTTATTCGATTAGGGAAGAGGGTGATCCGCAGTAATTTGAGTCTTCCATTCGATGATTGCTTTATTATAAGACGAGTCGAGTTTTAAAGAATTAGGATTTACTATGTTTTTAGTTAAAAGGCAACTGGATATGAAGGCTGTTAAGGCGAGATCGGAAGGAGATCTGAAACCTAGACCTCCCATCTTAGTGGGTAGAGAGGCTTGTCTCCATGCAATTTCATCAAATTTTAATATTTAGGATATTTTCGATAAGGATTTCGATCCCATTTTCATAAACTCCTACAACTGAATAAAAACGAGCTTACTCACGCGATTGGTATTCGATTAAATTGTCTTATTACCCAACCCCACATATGTTCAGGTTGCGGTTCTGCAGTTTTGGGCAATGGTAAACATCGTCTTCATTGTCGCTCATGTAAAGGTCGAATTGTAAGACATAATCTGTGCAATTCTATCATCCTTAGAGCTCTTAGATCCGCTCAAATCCCCTCCACTCTTGAACCTTCTGGTCTTTTCAGATCTGATGGGATACGGCCTGACGGAATTTCGCAAATTCATTGGAAGCGCGGTCAATTCCTGGTCTGGGACTACTCTTGCATTGATCCACTCGCTCCATCAAATCAAACAGTTAATATACTTGAGAAAAAGGAGACACTCAAAATAGCGAAATATTCTGAAATCTCTCAAGAATATATTTTCACCCCCATTATTTCCACTACCATTACTACTTTTAGGAAATATGCCTTATCCTTTTTCAAGGAACTCGGCTCCCACATCCGTCAACTAACCGGTGAACAACGCGAGGGCTTCTTCTTAAGGCAAAGGCTCGCCATCGCAATACACAAGGCTAATTATATTAGCTTCATAGGCAGTCTCATTCCACAAGATGATCCTTCCTAACCTCAATACTTTTTATAACACCGTCAAAAACATATTCTCCAATATTTTATTATATATTTCCTTTTTTTATTTTTATTATTATACTACTAGATGTATAATCTTTTTTAATGTTTTATTCCCTAGAATTATAAAATTTAATATATTTTTAATATAAATTTCATATACGCAAATAAAATTTCATTATAGAGGATAAATATAATATTAAAATAATTTTTTCACTTATTAATTGGTATAAATTTTATTATGTTTTTTTTTAAATAGGAACTGGCCTGGGTTTTTTATTTTTTAGGAGTGAGCCTGGCGTGTATAAGATTTTGAATTTCTAGATTCCTAAATTGACACTGCACGGGCCAGGTTCCTGATTAGACCTGCAGTCTCTGACATATAATATACACTACACTAAATCAAATTAGATCGGCATAAATTTAATTTTCATAACTATATGTTTCAACCATAAAATTTCGGTTGCTGCTTCTTTTCTGGGAAAAGAGTGGGGGGGGGGGGGGACTTATCATTCTTTTTCTGGTTGGTCAATTTTTTATAATATTAATATTGGATTGGTTCTTTTTTTGATTGGTTAAATTTTTTTTATTTTTACAAAATATGTAAAATATATCTAAATATAAATATTTATCACCTACCAGTTTTCGAATTTTTAACGTATTTAAAGCTATAATTCTTACTTCCGGTTATTATTTAGAGCCATAATTTTCTAGTTCCGATTATTATTGGAGTATATATATCAGAGACCTGCAGAGATACCGTTCGAACGGCCCGGCCCGGGTTTATATTTTAAGACCCGGCCCGACCCGGTTTTTAAAAAAAAAACTTACAGGCCCGACCCGGTTTTTAAAAAAAAAATATTATATATGTATATATATTTGATTTTAATGGCTAATAATGGCGATTTCAAATATTTGGTTTTAAAATAATATGACCAGGCCCGGACTTTTTTTTTAAAAAATTTTAGGTCCAGCCCGGCCCGGGTATTTGTTTAAAAAAAATACGGCCCGACACGGTCCTAAAGTCGGACCTGCAGGAAGGCGATGGCGGGATCTAAAGGCAAACTAAAAAAGACTAGGGGATCAATCGGGGGAATGATATTCATGAATATCATCTTTGAATAATAGTTATTTTCGGAGATAATTATTAAATTCTTTCGATAATTTACATTCGTTTTATTATATGATGGTATAAATTTTATTTACTGTATTTCAAATTAATCGATAAGACTGCGTCATTTAATAACTACATTTCGATTTTAATAAAATCAAAGTGTGTTTCATCAGAAAATATTTGATAACCTCCAAATTATTTACCTTACTCCTTGCTTAACACCCCTTAAAAAAAATTGTAGGCAAAATGCTTCTAACCCCCCCCCCCCCATATATATATAAATGCTGTATACATATTTTAGAAAAAAAAATTATTTTTTAAAATATCTTAAAATAAAAAAGATATATTTAATTTAAAAATAAGATAAAAAAATTACCCAATCAGAAAAAGAACCAATACAATATTAATATAAAAAATAAATAAACAAAAAAAAGAATAATAAGCTTCCAAAAGGAAGCAGCAACCAAAATTTCCTATTTAGTTTTTATTTCAAAATCTAATGCCATATTTCGAATGTCAATCCAATTTTATGTATATCAACCTATCCTAATTTTAATAACATTATAGCAAGTCTTTAAAAAATGGGTGCACATATTTATAAAATTATATCAAAAGTTAGTATGTTGTATAGAACACTCTATAAGTTAAACCCGCAGATGTATAATATATAAAATTTCTATATCTGACAAGTAAATTATACTAATTCTTTGTTGAACAATTTAATTTCACATTTAATATTTACTTCTTCATAATTATCAACAGTGAAGAAAATGTTTGGGTATGTAATTAATTCCTTCTCCCCTTTGATATCCATCCTACGTTTTGAAGGTGAGGCAAAAACGGACTATAAATAAAATTTCTTTTAGCTTTTAAAATAATTTATTTATATCTCATTCATCGACCATTTTATAATGTATCATTAAATATTTTACAACCTAATATTCTATAATTATTCTATGATAAAACATAAAATATAAACTGCAAAATTATTACATGTGAATGTCTTTTTAATATTTGGAGATCTTTTGGTCCTGTTCTAATACAGACTGAGCAAGTGATAGTATATTCAAACTGTAATAAATATATTATAAATTAAATTATAACTTGTACCTGTTGCAATATTAAATTAAGGTACACCGTTTCTTCCCAGTCTATGTATGGATCATTATACAAATTGTGATTCATTTTACAACCTCTTCTTAAAACATTAATTTTAACCTTAATAATACTTATAATTAAAGAGTTATAATGTTTTTAAACATCATATTGCTTTTCCACATAAAATATCAAATCATCACTCAATTTTCCATTATCAATAATGTAATCTTGGAAAATTGTAGTCCAAAATGAATTTAACCCTAAAAACAATTATTTTAAATTATGGATTTAATTTATGCCTTACTATTTTTGTGATGCATCTTTTTTCTTTCTTCTGCTATTTGATAAAACAGTTTTTGTAAAGATATCATTTGTGAACATAATTTTGCAGCCATGAAGCATCGCACACCTTAATGAAATATTACAGCTGAAAATTAGTGAATGAAAGATTTAAAAATCTCTAAAAACTTTCCCGAATTTCGAAAATCTTAAAATTTTTATATAAATAATAAAAAGAAGCAAATATTAAGTGAGCTAAATACCATTTTTGAATAAGTGATGACCATAAGACGAATCAAAAATATTTTTTAGTTGTAAGGAGCTCTGTCAGCGTTTTGTGAGTGGTTGTGGTAGAAGCAACTTGATTCCTATTTTTTAAAGGAGAGAAAGCGATTGGAATATAATTTTGGAAGCTAGGATAAAGCATAGCAAAAATAAATAATATTTATAAACCAAAATAATTCTGTAAAGCATTCAAATTTATAAGCATAACTCCGTAGCGTCACCAGGGAGGGGGAGCAGAGGGTCTATTCCCCTAAAAAAAATATACCCTATGTAATTTTGAATGTTAGCTAAAAAGATAAATTTAATAATGTTTTCTAAAAAAATAAGATAATTTTAATAATGTTAGCATAAAAAATATATTAAAATCTCTCGCAACGCTGGCATGAACGGTTCTGCTAAGCTGCTTTAGATTTGCTTTAACTATAAAAATTAACAAATAAATAATTTATAATTAATACTGGAAGTAATAAATTGCTCACAGATTTTCCAGAAGTGAATCGAGTCCAAATATTTTTAGAAGAATAATTTCAGTTTGCAAATTTTTAAACAGCTTTTAAGGCTCCAACTATGTCTCTCTGACCTTATTTGCTATATACCAATTTGATGGTCGCACAGAATATTTTTGAATTAGTGTGAAAATGTGACATGAAAGATTAGCCCCGACGGGAACTAAAATACCCCCACTCATTTGACATAATATGTCATAGAAAAATAAAAAATTGTTAATATTTTTCCCGATTTACTAAATTTAAGTATTTTGTTTAAATGAGTTGTTTCTATTCCTTTATAAACTCAAATTCTAAATGGCATGATTCTCTTATATATAACTAACAGGAGTACATTGCTAGATGGACCCCCTCCTATAGACATAAGATTTTTAAAAAATTTAAAACTGTTAAATTTGAATCCCTTTTCGTCTTTATTGTTACAAAAATTTTATATAGTTTTTAAAATAATTTATATTTTTTAATAGTCACATAAAGGAGGCTTAGTGAATTTTTTCCACTGTTTATATTTAGCCAATTAATTAACACTACAGACATAAGATAGTCCAATCAAAGCTCATAAATGTTTAAATAGATATATAAAATTTTAAATAGGCAGAATGTTGTAATTTACTATGAAAGAAATAATAAATTGGAATATTTTTTATCAAGCTCTGATGTCCTATTGTTAATTAACCAATTTTTATTCCCTCTAAAATCTACCCTTACTCTCCTATTGGGTGAGATATTCATCCATCCATTATACTTTAACAATCCCATAATATTAATTATAAAAGTCTAATAATGAGCCCAATGACATATTATATGTCATTGAATGAGCCACCATTTATAACCTAAATTGACTCTTGTTAATATATTATGTCATTGAATGAGCCACCATTTATAACCTAAATTGACTCTTGTTAATATATTCGGACTGATTTTATTTTTTTTTATTTCACATTATACTAACTTTATATTTACCATATGGATTATTTCTTTCACTTTATATAATATTAATTTAATAGTTTCATTTATTGATATTACTAAATTGAATTTTGTAAAGTATATATAGGCATAAACCTATTAGATTTAGTGAGTTGTATTTTTAAATTATAAAATCAAAATATTCATCTTGTTGTTTGTTATCTTATTTTACTCTCCACAACTTTAGCAACCCTTTCAAGCCTCGGGATTATATTAAATCATTAGCGGCTGATAATCAATAGTTGGTGAAATTCAACTAGTTGTTATTAGTTGTATTTTAAATATTAGCTATGGGCATGTATAATTTCAAACTCTGCTAAAATGTTATCTGTGAGTAAATGAGAAATTAATATTTATTAACTAATTTAATTATTTTACCAGTTATTTTTATCTTTAACATATAAATAGTGTTGATTGTAACTTTCCCCTACCAACCCCCCCCCCCCACTTTTGATTCTTACCCCCTTACTCCTTCAACAATATTATGTGCAAATCACTCCTACACCCACCCCTCCCGTTTGTTGCTAAATATTACATACATAGGTAGTTTCAGAAATTACATATTTAAAAATATATTTTCAAAAAATCTTTAACTAGTGAAACATAAAATAGGACAGTTTCTCCAAAAAGAACCATAGTCTCGTCTAATAGATAACTTTGAAAGCGAGGGTAAAATGAATTGAATATAAAATTTTGTTTATATTTTAGTAATTCTTTCTTTATTAAAGAAATTGATCTAAAACCTAGATACCCGATATGGCGAAAGCAAATAAAAAAAATCAAATATTCTTAAAGGAATTTGATAAGTTTCTATTCCTAGTAAATAATTTTAAAGGGTTCTTAACTCTGGATACTTATATATTCATAAATATTAATGAATCTTCAATATCGAAATGCATAAAATATACAACTCATAGAAAACGAAGAAATGTTTATAAAAAATTTTTTAATTCATATTATTGTTTTCTATTAATTTGTATAGATATCGGTGTTATCAAATCTGTTACATTATTTTTAAAATATAATATAAATAAAGATTTATTCATATTCTTAATATAAAAAAAATTGATTTTTTTATGTATCATATTTTATGATAATATATAAAAATTGTAGCCCACCTCCCTCCAGCCGCGAAGTTAAAATATATTTATTAGGAGTATTTTATACTCATGATTCAAACTTCAAAATAGGTTTTGATGAAAACTACAATCAATCTGTGCCATCCTTATTAGATTTTGACGCCGCTGAGCCATTATATTTCAATATTTTTGAAATACTAAGGATTATTATTTTAGTAACTATAAAAATAATAAGTTTCTCAATAAAACCAGAATGTGTTGCAAGATTTTGGTGGCGATTCGGTGTTCCAAGCATCGTCTACATGTCAGAAAATTTTTTGGCCCATCCAATATCTACTTCTATTCTCTTAAGAAAAAATTGTAGCCAACAGCAGCGATATTTGTCCTACTATTATATAGTAAATCCATTATAATAATAAGTCAAAATTATCATAATAAATCATTATTTGCAACCCCTTACAAGAGCCTAATTAAAATTCATTATGACATTTAAAATATACCAGGTAACATATAAGCTATTTCGTAATGTTTAAATTAGCGGTGGGCATGTTTACTAAAATCGTATTTCTGTATATAAATGATTTGAAATTTGATTAAACTTTAAAATTGAAATAAATACCCTATAATAAATAAGAATCTTTTTACCAATCACCAGTGGCCCCTATACTTTTTGAGCGAATGTAGCCGAATACCCCCATGAAAAGTACCCTCTTGAAAAGTATCCCCCCCCCCTACGAAAAAATGATAATTATGACACCCATAAATTTCAAAAATAATTTTTATTGCATCAATTTTTAATATATAATATAAATAAAATGCAAAAAATATAATTTTATAAATATTATTTTTAAATTAATAATTTAGATAAATTAGGGGAAGAGAAAGCGAAAGAATTTATAATTTCATCAGTATTTAATTGTTTAAATAAAAAATTTTCCATTGATAATATGGTTTAATTATTGAGAAAAGAATCTTTCATGGAACTGCGCAGTCTTGTTTTAATTAATTTAATTTTACTCATGACTCTTTCGGCAGTACATGAGATTGTGGGAATGGTTAATAAATATTTATATAAAATTCTTAAATTAGGGAAAGCAGAAAAATTTTAAAGTAAACGATAAGGTAAAATAAATGAATAGTTTATCCAATCTCGTAAGTCCCTGAATTATCATCATCATCAGAAGAAGCTAAATAATGTATTGGTAAAAATATTTTAATTAAATAAATTTGCAATTCTCAGAATCTGACAAATCTTTAGATTCTTGAACCTCTAGGTCATGAGTAAATTACATTCCCCATTTTGGCCATCTTATAAATATTTCTAAACTTCAACATTTCTTCGAAAATTTGACTTGAATTTAAATTGTAAAATTCACCGATATCCTCGATATCTTCTTTAATAATTGATTTTTCTGTCATTCCCTTTGGCGTAAAAAATGATGTTTGACGTAAAAATTTCATTGAATCATCATTAAATCTTTAGTTAAACTGCATAATAATTAAATCGAGTGCAGCATAAAACACACCTATTTTAAAGCTAAAAAAAATTTCTATATTTAATGATGAAAGTATATATACCTCTCCTTTTTGGATTGTAATGTTTGAAGTCTAGAACTTTCAAAATCAAAAGGTAGATTTCTCTCCTTCATAAAATCTTGCGCCTTTGAAAAAACCTCCAAAAATTCAGTGTTATTATCTATTAGATTTAAAAATAATTAAGACAATTTATATTATACTTCTCAAATTAATCAAGCAATCTTTTGCCAATTGAATTTGATTTATTGCATACCCTATATCCTTCGAAATGGTTTGCAATTTTGTACAGGCCAAACTTGTTATCAACAATATTTTATCCAAAACACAAAGTGATAAGATAAAATAAAATTTTTCTATTCTAAAGACTGTAGCACTAGCCATAGTGGAAGTGGCAGGATCTTTAGAATCCTTTAAATTTGTTAAAGCTGCCCTCAAGGCATCATAAAGTTGAAAAAAATTTACAATAGCTTTATACGATAGCCAGCTTCTAAATGAAAAAAACATTTAAAATTTAAATAAATAAGGAACTATTACCGAGTGGTATTCTTAACGCGTAGAAATCGTTGCGATTTTTTCAAATCATTACACTGAGATTTTTTGAGTACCTCATATCTTTTTACACCATTAAAATAGACATAAATCTCATCTAATATTCCTAGAACATTTCGAAGTTTTTTAATTGATTGGCATAATTGAACAACGA